TTATATAATGCTTACATTATTTTTCATTTTTGCATAATGTATGCATTTTCATTTTGGTTATATTCCCCATACAATTCCCACCCCCTTTTTCTGACCCTAATCCCTCTTTTCCACCTCCCCCCCTCCCCTACTGTAGTGTGTGTCTGGTCTATAGTTGCTGAAGACTACTTTTTAATTGAGTAGGTCATTTTATGGTTAAGCTCAGGCACAATCCTCAACAATTCACACAATCTCATTCACACATCTCATTATTCTCACACAATTGGCCATGTTTGTCTTAATATATGTATGGAGAAACTGAGGCACAAGGGGAGCACCGACCTTGTCAGAGGTCAGGCAGCTGGTGAGTGACAGAGCTGAGATTTTTAACCCAGTTTAGTAACTTCAAAATTCCTACACTGAACATAATACTAAGTGAATGGCAACTAGAGTCGAAAATATTGGTTGAATCATATTAAATTAGCTCATTATTTCTTAATAAACTCAGCTCTGGATAATCAATCTTTTGACAGCATGAGCCTGGTGGTGGAGGATATTGACATAGTAAATGAAATCACACAGGGTCACAACCTATTGTGCATAAAATGTACAAAGTAAAATTATTTTGGAATTTGAAATCACCCCGAACTCTCCTTACAATAGCAAGCTCCTGAATTCAAACTATCACTCCCTTAACTGTACACCTTTGTTTTCGTTACAATTCTTTACTGGGGGAAATAGTCTACTTCCCACCAGAAAGGACCTGAGCTTTGCTCGTGTCTGCAGCACTGGGAGAAGACAGGAGGAGGGTGGAGGGACCAGGCTAAGTGGAAGAGGGAGGTTCCCTCTCAGGGTCCGGTTGATCAAGAGCCATTGCGACGCCATCTTGGGCCACCGTGGACCACAAACCTCAGACAGATGTGGAAGGAGGTCGGGAAGGAGGGACGCCGATGGCTGTGGACTCCATGGGAATGCGGGAATTCTGGGCACATGCCCTGGCCCCCCAGTGCTCCAGGGCCATCCTGTGCTCCAGGTACCCAGGAAAGTGATGGAACACTTACATTCAGACATCTTTAAAGCCTTCCTCTGGGAGGATCTTCGGCCTCCAGCTCTGCTTTGGCTGCTCAGTGCCCAGTCAGCCATGAGAAGAGAGAGCCTTCACCTGCAGTTTGCTTAAATGCCTCCTTGGGATCCGAGGTGAAGCGAGGAGAGTTAATTACCCTGTCCAGGTAATTGTCCTCCAGTGTAATGACAGCAGGAACATGTAAGAGATTTCCCCTGCTAATTCCACTTTCACTGTATGAATCCTTCAAGTTTAGAAAATATTTTCTAAAGATTTATTTATTTATGCATACAAGTGCTGGGGTACAGCCAGAGATGCGGGGGTGAGAGGATTCACCAGAGACAAGTGGGGAACAGAACAGGCAGACTGACTGAAACACACTGCTGAGGGAAGCAGCGGGGGAGACAGGAGAGGTCTGCTGTGCCATGTGGGTTGCTCCCTGGCCAACTGGGTATGGAAATGGTGCTGCAGAGGCTGTGGATTGCTTCATATGTGGTTCTTAACCCCTTGCGCAACAGGGAGGCCCCAAGAACTCATCATTTTTTATCACTGAGTAGTATCACATTGCATTGTGTATAATTACCAGCTTTTTTTTTTTTTTGCTTTGATTTTTTAATTTTACTTAATTTTAAACTAACAAGATGAAATCAACATGATTTTTGAATTTTACTGTACTTCCTTATGCTTCCCCCTCCATAGGATTTATTTTTATATTTTATCAAGGTTAAGGAAAGATTTTCTTATAGTCATAGCATTTCTGTACTTCTCCAAAGACAAAATGGACTCAGAGGTGGTGAATCTTTAGGATGAGGAAAGGTAGAGCTCCTGGGTCCATGGAGTTAGCTTCTAAAACAAGCACATCAAGACATCTAAAAAGAGAATCCCAGCTGAAATGGCAGCTTTGGGGACCAAAACATCTTATCTGGAGTAAGAGGGAGGGTGGTGACATTCTATGCCCTTGGGCCATGCTGTGGGCAGCACACCTTGTCCCTCATTCATTTGCTGGGTCACTTCTGCAACTGTGAGCTGAGCTTCCTTCTTCTCATTGTAAGATGAGGGGCTCAGCATCAGCTTTCACCAAGACTAAATGCTCATGTATAGAAACACACAAGTCGGTATCCTTACGGTCACTAGTCAGACTCTCACACTCTACACAGGTTACTTTCTCAGTTATTTTACTATAGATTCTTGTGATGTGCCTCCCTCTACTGGTTAATGAAATTCTAACAAGATTTAACCTCATTATGTCTCATTGTAATCACAGCATGTGTTAATTTAGCATTTCAAAATAAAAACATTTTAAATATCATTGACAATCAGAAAAAATAAAAAAAATTTACAATAACAAGAAAAACTTAAATGTTAAAGAATAAATATCACAAATTTCTCTCTTTTTTTCTGGAAAACTGAATCTTTTAAAGACAATCACATAAAGAAATAGACATTGGTATTGAGTAAGAACATCCACTGCAAAAAGATTCTGTTTTCCTCCAAATAACTTAGAGATTCAACAAAATAAGGCTAAGACCTTAGAAAAGGAAGGAAAATCTACTTTCATTTTAAAATAGACAGGGATAGAGGATGAATATTACATGACTACATTACCCAAAAGTATAAAAGCTCACATCAGAAGGTGTAACTTCATTTTTTCTTCACTTGCCCCCTGATTCATGCTGAACTTTTACCCAAAAGGATCAGATGTGCCAAAGGGACTAGGTCATTTTTACAAAGTTTGCACAGATACAGTATATCCCCACCGAGTCTGGTGTGACTCACTGGAGACAGATGGGTGAGCTTGGTAGAGCTTGGTAGCTCTTCAAACATAAGAGCAAGTCGGGTGTGAGAATCCATATGCTTAGAAGATTGAGGGTAAATCTGGGGACCCCTTCTGGCCAGGTTACAACTTAAAAATTAGCAACTAGTCTACTCTGGCATAGTTATTAGGGGAAAGCAGGAAGTGTGGCACCCAGGAGTGGGCAGCCTTATTTTAAATTAAAAATAAGAGAGAGAAATGACCATTTCAAGGAAACCTATGGTGAATCTCCTTATTTCTTTTTTAACTTAATATATTTTATTTTATATCATTCTTACACCATTTTCATTTTTGCACAATGTATGCATTTTCATTTTGGTTATATTCCCTATACAGACCCGCCCCCCCCCCTTATTTTGACCCTAATCCCTGTTCTCCTCACCACCCCCACTCAAACTACTAAAGATAGAGCTTCCATATGATCCAGCAATTCCACTCCTAGTATTTACCCAAAGAACACAGAAACATTACTTCCAAAGCGCACCTGCACCCCTATGTTTATAGCAGCACTGTTTACAATAGCTAGGCTTTGGAAACAACCCAAATGCCCAAAATCTCTTTATTTCTACTTCTTACCAAAGGGGCTGCCCCTTTCCTCCTCTTCAATTCCTCTTTTGGCTCAGTTATGCCCCAAGAACATGGGGTTATCCAGTAATGTGTCTTGTTGGTGAGTGTCTTGTTGGTGAGTGATACTCTCTGGAACCTGCCAGAGCATAACGCAGTGGGAGGGATTGCTGGGGGCCTGGCAGTACCAGCCAATCATTGCTTTACTGACTGAGTGCTGAGCTGGTGCCCACATCAGAAAAGGGCATCTGTCTCTTCTGCAAGAAGGTCCTTCACGTTCTGGAAAGCGTCTTGGAGTTATCACGCCCTCTTCTGTTGGTGTAAAGAAGAGCAGCTTCTTTCCTATTTACTTGAATGATGACTATAAATTACAAGGCACAGAGATGGCTGAGTGATTTATTTTTTAATAAATTTAAATGATGAATTTTTAAAAACATTTTATTAGACACTGTCATTTCCATGGGTCACTTTCTTTGTCTGTTTATGACCACATGCCTAAAGAATACCTGTCACAGAAATGGTGCCTTCCCAAGAATGTTACCTAGGACTAGATACTTCCCAATCTCTTTCTTTTTAAAAAAATTTGTAATGAGCCATCCTTCACCTATTATAAAATTGATCCTCTGGAAATGTGCTGTTCAGTGGTTTTTAGTATAGTCATGAGTTTTGCAACCATTACCACAGTTAAGAATATTTTCACCGAAGAAACTCTAGACCCTAAGGGTCATTCCCCATTCCTTTGCACACCTCAGCCTTAGGCAACCGCTGACCTGCTTTCTGTCTCTGCAGAGCTGCCTAAGCTGAAGATCTCACTTCAATGGAATCATATAGTGTCCAGTCCTTTGTGACTGAGTCACTTAGCATGTTCTCAGGGCTCATCTGTGCTACAGCCTGTGTAGGTACTCTCTTTATTATGGCCAAATACTGTATGAATATGCCAGACCTTTTCCTTTGGACCCCCCCCCCATTCTTCACATGCAGAGCTCCCCACTCTTTCCGGGGGAGATTTAGTCTGTGTTTTCCCCTAACTATTCCTAGCTGCGTGTTCTCTTTGTTGAAAATTCCAACATCTGAAGATTTTTCATATCTCTTTAAAAGGAATATTTTTTTCTTAACGATACTGCAAGTCTTGACCACATAGGGAGGTATATGATTTTATTTTCCTTTTTAGTATAAAATGTGTTCTTTTGTCCGTGAATCTAATCTGTGTGAATTCTTGTATATTGAGACTGAGGACAAAGTCCTCTGGGAGTTGCTTGAGATGTGGTGTTGATGAGGTGTTTGAGAAAGATGTCTGAAGTGTGAAGCTCTCAAAGATGATGTTACAGTCCAACACTGAGGCACTAAAGGCTTATATTTGTATAATATTGACACATTAACAGCTTTGTGAGGTCACTGCTGTTATAAGAAAGTCAACTGCCAAGACATAAAGAAACCACGGGATTTGCATGGTCCTAAACCAAGCCTGGATTAAGACAGGCCTCACTTGCAGTTCTGCCAGGGCATCTGCAAGGATGAATAAGGTTAAATGTATTTCACTTGCTTAGTTTAGCCTAGAGACTTCCAGTCACTGGGGTCACTAGCCTACCTGACACTTAATTAGCTGTGACAATGGGAAAATGTCCTCTTCTTACACCTCTTCAAGGCATCTTTGATTTCCTTGTTCCTCAGACTGTAGATCAATGGGTTCAGCATGGGGACCACCATTGTATAGAAGATTGAGAACATCTTGTCATAGCCTACAGATTTATTTGTGCCGGGGTGCAGGTAGACAATGAATGCTGATCCAAAGTAAAAGGTCACCGCAGTCAGGTGAGAAGCACAGGTACTGAACGTCTTGGACCTGCCTTCAGCTGAGCTGATTCTCAGGATGGTTGCAACAATATAAACATAAGATATCATGATGACTAAGACAGATAGCACACCAAAGATCACTGCTAACACATATTTTATGACTTGGAGGTAAAAGGTTTCAGAGCAGGCTAGAGCTAATAATTGAGGCATGTCACAGAAAAAATGGTTGATGACATTGGGGCCACAGAAATCAAGCTGAAGTAAAGCGCACAGTTGGATTATTGCTCCAAAGAGACCAGATATATAGGATCCAACCACCATCTGCACACAGAGAGTGGGAGACATGATGGCAGCATAGAGCAGAGGACTGCAAATGGCGGCATAGCGATCATAAGCCATGGCTGCTAGGAGAAAGGACTCAGTCAGACCCAGGATGGCGAGGAAGAAGTATTGCACAATACACCCCATAAAGGGGAAGGTTGTCTGCTTCTTGAAGAATTCTGAGAGCATTTTAGGGACTGTGCAGGTAACATAGCACAAATCTAAGAAGGATAAGTTGCTGAGGAAAAAGTACATGGGTGTATGTAGGTGGGAGTCCATTCTAATCACGGTAATGAGACTCAGGTTCCAGGTCACTGCCAAGAGGTAAAGGCCCATGAAAACTATGAAGAGAGTAATTTTGAGCTTGGGGAAATCTGAGAAACCTAAAAGGATGAATTTGGTGACTGTTGTACCATTCCTTCCTCCAGCCATTGTCTTGCAATTTCTTCAATCTGCAGAAACAGCCTGAGCTAATTATTAATTATTTAAATTCATGCAAATTATTTGTTTTCAACATAGTTTCATGTTTTGGAACAAAAACTTAACCCATAGGTATGGATAATTTTTTAAAACAATATAAACAATTATAAAAGCAATTTTAAAAATCATTGGGAATCCTATTTCCCAACTACTCTTAATATTTAGGAATGTATTTTTTGCACCCATGCAATTGTGTACACACACACATACACACACACAGACACACACACAAAGATGTAGCCAAATTGTTTTCTAAAAATTGGTTCCAATTAAACAAATACCAAGATTTTTATGACAGTATCCCTTGGCATCCCATTATCAACACTGCCTGGAATTATTTAGATTTAATCTTGACAATCTTGTAGGTAAAAATATCATTTCATTATTTCCTTATTTGCACTTACTTTACTGACTTGCTCACATATATTTTTCCCCATTTGTCGAGAACATTGTTTATTATTTGTTGTTGGAGCTTTTTACATAGCAGGTATCATAACTCTTCTCCTTCATAGATCTTGCTAAATCTTTTCCAAGCTTGTTATTTATTATCAATATTCTTTATCAGTATTTTGCTATGCAGATTTCCTTTATTGTTAGGTAGTCATCTTACTGTGACTTTTGGTTCCTAGCCTGGCATACTGAAAAAGATTTCTTGACACAATTTCACAGACTCTTTCCTACATTTTCATATTTACCTTTTCAATTTTTGGAAGATTTTTGCACATATTGTCACTTGTCCACAGTTAATTATATGATTTCTCCATGGATTAAACTCAATTCTATGATGAAGGTATTTCATCTGCTCAATTTTTAATATGTCAGGCATGTGTCTTCTATCTGATCTTATATAACATTTCATAATTGCTTATATTATGATATGATTTGCCAGTAATTGTTAGGCAGCACACTCTAATCTATATTTTCCATGTCTACATTTTGCTTCAACCTCAAATACACAATAAACGCAAGGCACAATAATAAAATCAATTGTGATATAGTAATGTTCCTACTATATGAAATTCACAAGACCTTTTAATCAAAAAATCATAATAGGTCATCTAATCCTAGAAGCTCAGCAAATAGAAGCTATGATCTATTTCCCCAACATTTAAAATATTTGAAAACATGCTACTTTCTTAAATATTTATAATGCCTCTTTTTGACAACAGGTAATAAAAATGCCTATAGCTTTTGATGCAATAACTTTTTAAGAAATGTCCTTCTAGGAAATATTCTAAAATATTTTTATAAAATATTTTTTCTGCCATTTTATGATACAATGATTACATGCATTTTAAACTCATAAAATGTGGTCAATAATATTATCAATAAATTGAGCATTGTCTTATTTTGAATATGAATTTTTTTGTGGTCATCAACACATTTTATTTCTACTCTCATTTTTATTATTATTTGGTAACTTTGGAAGTCTTGTTCTCTCTAGTATCAAATGTCCATCTAGTATCAAATGCCTCCAGTAAAAAATTACTAGCATTTCAGAAGGCTACATAGGATCAATGAAAACATTTCGGAACTGTGAGGCCATTTTTCTAAAAACGCAAGACAACTGGTCTATTCAGGAGCAACAATCAAGCAAATTAAGTGGTTGGTATCACCGAAGACTACTTTTTAATTGAGTAGGTCATTTTATGGTTAAACTCAGGCACAATCCTTAACAATTCACACAATCTCATTCACACATCTCGTTATTCTCACCCAAGTGGCCATGTTTGTCTTAATATACGTATGGAGAAACTGAGGCACGAGGCGAGCACCGACCTTGGTAGAGGTCAGGCAACCGGTGAGTGGCAGCGCTTAGATATTTAACCCAGTCTAGTAACTTCAAAATTCCTGCACTGAACATAGTATTAAGTGAATGGCAACTAGAGTAGAAAATATTGATTGAATCAATATTAATATTTGGGAACATTAATATTTGGGAATCAATATTAAATTAACTAATATTAAATTAGCTCATTATTTCTTAATAAACTCAGCTCTGGATAATCAATCTTTTGACAGCATGAGCCTGATGGTGGAGGATATTGACATAGTAAGTGAAATCACACAGGGTCACAACCTATTGTGCATAAAATGTACAAAGTAAAATTATTTTGGAATTTGAAATCACCCCAAACTCTCCTTACAATAACAAGCTCCTGAATTCAAACTATCACTTCCTTAACTATACACCTTTGTTTTCGTTACAATTCTTTACTGGGGGAAATAGTCTACTTCCCACCAGAAAGGACCTGAGCTTTGCTCGTGTCTGTAGCACCGGGAGAAGACAGGAGGAGGGTGGAGGAACCAGGCTAAGTGGAAGAGGGAGGTTCCCTCTCAGGAGTCCGGTTGATCAAGAGCCATGGCGACGCCATCTTGGGCCTCCGTGGACCACAAACCTCAGACAGATGTGGAAGGAGGTTGGGAAGGAGGGACGCCGATGGCTCTGGACTCCATGGGAGTGCGGGAATTCTGGGCACATGCCCTGGCCCCCCAATGCTCCAGGGCATCCTGTGCTCCAGGCACCCAGGAAAGTGATGGAATACTTACGTTCAGCCATCTTTAAAGCCGTCCTCTGAGAGGATCTTCCACCTCCAAATTCTGCTTTGGCCACTCAGTGCCCAGTCAGCCGTGAGAAGAGAGACGCCTGCACCTGCAGTTTGCTTAAATGCCTCCTTGGGATCCGAGGTGAAGCGCGGAGAGTTAATTACCCTGTCCAGGTAATTGTCCTCCAGTGTAATGACAGCAGGAACATGTAAGAGATTTCCCCTGCTGATTCCACTTTCACTTTAGAATCCTTCAAGTTTAGAAAAAATTTTAAATCAATGAACCACTAGAATAGTAATGCGTCTTGTGTATTATCCAATTTAAAATCTTTCATTATTGACTGAATTTTTTTCAGTCTTCCTCTTATATACTTGGAATGTTATAATGTCTGTTTCACACACATGTTATAAACACACACTTGAATGGCTCGTGAACATAATAAATGATCATAATGTTATATGTCTCTCTTTAAGCAATTCATCTCTACTGGAGTATTTCCTCTGTTGAATTTTACAAGGAATGCAAGGTTTGGGTGTTTTTTATGAAAATTATTTCTGGCATCAATGTCCAATCAGATAATATCCTTAAAACAAATTTCTAGAAAAGAACATTGCTCTATTGCTACAAGTATGTTTTCCATTTTTATTTCATTTTATTTATAATTCTCTTAGCATTAAATAGAAACACATAATCTTTTTAATAATGTTTATTGAAGTAACACTGCGTTATAACATTATATAAATTTCAGGGGTGCATTATAATATAAATAATCTGTATCTACTACATTAAGCTCACCACTGAAAACTCACCTTTATACTTCATCATGCAATCGATTCCTTTCACCTAATTTACCCATCCCAATTCCCTCTTCCCCTCTGGCAGCCACGATTTTGTTCTTCTAGTCTAAAAGTTATTTTACTTTGTTCATTAGTTTTGCTTCATTATCTTCCACATGAGAGATATCATATCCAGCTGCCCTTTTTAATCTGACTTATTTCCTTAAGCCCAATATCTTCTAGGTTAATCCATGTTGTTGAAAATGGCAGGATTTCATATTTTTTATAGCCCAGTAGTATTCCATTGTGTATATACACCATATTTATTTTATTCAGTCATCTGCTGATGGGCATTCAGATTGTTTCCAATTCTTGTGAAGGTTATGGATAAGACTGTGATGAACATATACCTATTTTAAGTGTCCAGTAATTCTGAGTAGATTTATAAAATTTTGTAATCCATTTTTAGAACATGTCCATCACCTGAAAAAAAAAAAGTCCCTCTGCCTATTAGCAGTGCACTTGCATTCTGGAAAACGAAATTTGAACAGGGTACTATCTCTAAACTTCAGTCTTTCATTTATGATTTGAGGTGGCATGAGTCCTTAATCTTAAAAGGAAGATGCAAATGTCATACATATGGGGATAAGGAGAATGACATTTGCCTATGGAGTTCACAACTCTGTATTTTTCCATCTGAAATCCTGTGGTGACAGACAGCAGCAAGAAAGACTGAAAATCCAAGCACTGTTGAAAATTCTGTGTGGCATCTTTAATTATTCTGTTGTTTTGGGATGTAGCCTATTACTTCTTTGAGTAGCTACCTTTGCCATGGGGACAAGGCATCTCAAGCTTTTGCTGCTCGGTTCCTAAGCTTACCAGCCTGGTCTTTACCCTGGCACTGCTCAGACCTTTTTAAAGTAAAGAATTATTCTCTCCCACCAAGGGTAGTTATTCAGCTATAGTTCTTTTGGAACTTGGCTCCATCAGTGATGCCCTTGCTTTTCTCATTTTCAAAGATACCTTCCAAGTCTTGCTTTTATCTGCTTATGACTACTGAAGTCACCGATTTCCCCTTCTCCCATCCATTCATCCTGGGTGGGACACTCCTCTTTCACAACAACAATACACCAGAACAAAAAGAAAAATATCAGGTGGTTTCACTTATAGGAGGAATACAGGGGGGCCAAATAAGGGATCAGAAAAAAAAAACCAATAACAATAAACAAAATTAACAGGCACCTATAAATCAGAGATATTCTGCAAGAGAGGGAGAGTTAGAGGAATCAAAACAAGGGAGAGAAGAACTCCAGGGACTACGGTGATGGTTCACAGGTGAACTGGTGGTGGGAATTTTATAGGGACTACACCTGAGAGGAGAAAGCACACAAGCGTGCATTCTACAAAAATGAACAATGATGTAAAATATACATATATAAAAATTAATTTAAAAAAACTAAAAAATTTAAATAGACCTATCCATTCACTGTATGTAAATTATATCTAATTTTTTTAAAAAATAAAACATTCCATTTAAATACTAAGTAGTAGTCTTAGAAGAACTATTATGGTGTAAATACAAATGGTGACACCCAAAAAAAATTCTGATTCACAATAAGAACAGAGAATGATTCTAACCCCTAACCATGAGGCACCTTCCATGAAATGAGGCTTGATATTCCTGCATCTCATGGCTGGAGCCTTTCTTCACACACCCTGTGTGTCAGTGGGTATTGTCATCAACTCCAAATATAAATCTGTCTGCTGAGTTTATGAGAGCTCTTCAGAGGAAGTGCCTAGTGACTTGAATAACCCAAAGCTATCCCAACTCCTGGCTAAGGGAGCTAGAACAACAGCTGGACAGCAGACAGGACATCACGGGCAAGTTTTACTGTCTTTTCTCCCCCAGGCTCATATCTGCCCTGTGTTCTTCTAAATTTAACTTAGAAATTAATCCATGGAAATCTGGAAGAATACTGAACAGTACAATGGGGAAAATCACCTGTGGTCCTTCCACCCATAAATAACTACCAATAATATTGTTGACCCTCGAGGGGAGCTCAAGACATCTCTCTCATTAATTCAGCTCCCAAGTTCTGTGGCTAATTTTACTATCTACTTCCCATTTTTCAATTATTGGAAAAACAACTTCCTAATGGAGACTTGTTCTACTTTAAAAAACTAACAAGTTATATGGAGACATTGTGGGAGGTACCCAAATCAGCCCCATGGTCACCTTGCCAGCAGAATGCCAGTTTGATTCCCTCTGGGGCTATGTGTTGAAGACGAAAGAACAAAGATGTCTTTACAGCAATAACAAACAAGGAATTAGGTGTTCCCAGTAAGCCAAGGAGCTGACCAAACCTTAACAGCCATGTTAAGCATTTTGTTACAACACATTTATTTTGTGTGAAGTTAACAAATATTTGATTTGGCATGGTTACTTTTTCTTTGGATGCATCAATGATTAGTGAAATTAATTCATCATTTCCAGAAGTGAAGAATAGGTTAAATGTGAGAACTAATCTAATTAGATGGGAAAATGTTCAGAAGACCTCTCAGTACTAGCAGTAAGCCCTGCCCCACCCCAAATAAGATGTTACAAGGAGGTTTGCTGATCTCTTGGCAGATGTGACCAGTGCTGGCATCTCTGATCCTTGAGGTAGTGCATGCTAAGTAGGGACAAAATTCAGAAGTAAATGGCCGTACTACCATAGTTAACTACCAAAATACTTGTGGATTTCTTGACTGATTGATATATTAGGTTTGACTGATGAAGGGTGGCAATGATGAGCTTCCAGCTATTTCTCATGCATTTTCCTGGCCTTGTGCCAGTCATAGGTCTGTGTTAGAAGAGTACAGTAATTATAACTCAAACCACAATCATGAGAGTTGTGGGTCAATGCTTTCCATTTCTCATACACGGTACAACTGAAATAAATCCCAGCATGAGTAACATCAAGAAAAGATTATCTTCTTCCATCTGCTCAGGGCATCTTTGATTTCTCTGTTCCTCAGGCTGTAGATCAGTGGGTTTAGCAGGGGAATGACAACAGTGTAGAACACGGATGCCAGTTTGTTTTGGCTCCCAGAATCACCAGAGTTAGGATACATATAAACAAAGATACCTGAGCCAAAGAAGAGAGTCACTGCTGTCAAGTGAGAAGCACAGGTGTTGAAGGCTTTGGACCTGCCTTCTGCTGAAGTGATCTTCAGAATGGTACCAACGATATAACCATAAGATATCATGATAACCAGGACAGACATGAGTCCGAAGATCACTGTGAGCACAGAGGTCATGATTCGAAAGAAAAAAGTATCAGAACAGGATAGTATCAGTAATTGGGGAAGGTCACAGAAGAAATGGTTAATGACATTGGGGCCACAGAAATGGAGCTGAAGTAAGGCACATAGTTGGATAAATGAGCCAAAGAATCCAGTTATACACGATCCTGCCACCATCTGCACACAGAGGGTAGGAGACATGACCGCAGTGTAGAGCAGAGGATTGCAAATGGCGGCATAGCGGTCATAAGCCATGGCCGCCAGGAGACAGCACTCGGTCAGACCCAGACTAGAGAAAATGAAGTATTGCATGGTGCACCCCATAAAGGAGATGAATTTTTGCTTTCTGAAGAAGTCTGAGAGCATCCTGGGGGCTATAGTGGAAACATAGCAGATGTCTAGCAGGGACAGGTTACCGAGAAAAAAGTACATAGGTGTGTGCAGGTGGGAGTCCAGCCTGATGAGGGTGATGAGGCTGATATTCCAGGACACTGTCATGAGGTAGATTCCCAGGAATGCTGAAAAGAGGACAATGGTGAGCTTTGGAAACTCAGAAAATCCCATGAGAATGAACTTTGTAAGTGTTGTACTGTTCCTTTCCCCAGCCATTGGGGTAGTGATCCTAGGATCTGTCAGAAAAGAAGAGAATATATCTCAAAGTCAGTTGTCCCAATTTCTATTTGAAATAAATCACTGTCTACCCACATTGAGCAGAGACGCCAGAGAAATATTGATCCATTTTATTTTTATTTTTAATAAGGCAGCATTGATTCATAACACTGCATGTGATTTAGAGGTATAGGATCACCCCCTTCATGTGTTGTTACCACACCATCACACCCCCCATCAAGGCACCCATAGTCCCCCACCACAGGCCATTGAACTCCCTCTCCAATTTGCTCTCTCCCCTTCCACTCTGGTAGCCTTAGTTGTACAGTAAGATTTCTAGGGCTGGTTATTTGGATTTATCTGACCCCTCTGTTTCTCTACACATAAGTGACACCAAGTGGTATTTGTCTTTTTTCTCCTGATTTACTTTGCTTAGCCTAATTCCCTGCAGTTTAATCCATGTTGCCACAAATGGCTTGAGTTTATCTTTTTCAATGGCTGAGTAGTATTTCATTGTGTGTATATACCAGGTCTTCCTAATCTGTCCTGGGGCCCTTAGATTGTTTCTATAGCTCAACTATTGCAAATAGTGCAGCGATGAACACAGGAGTGCATAGATCCCTTCAAATTAGTGTCTTGGTGTTCTTTGGGGAGATACCTAATAACCCTCAATAACTTCACTCCTAAATAGTTCTATGCATCAATTTCCCCACATATAAAAGAGACACACTTTTCATTATTAACCCAAAAGATTCTTAAAGGACAAAATAAAATACAACATATGGAAAGCCCTTAAAAGATGCTTTAGAAACTTTGGGATATTGTTGATGGAATTATAACTCCCATATGTAGTTTAGACTTGTGTCACATAGTTGTTATTTTTTTTTTTTTTAGTTTGGCTCTGCTATCTGTGGGCTTATGACAGAAGAGGATTTCTGTTATCTTTCTGTAAGTTAGTTCATATGTAAAATAAGGACATTAGACCCTATCTCATAGAGTTTATTTGATGTACAGTGTCTGCAATGCAGATAGATAGGCAGGTGGGTAGGTAGGTGATAGGGAGAAAGAAAGAAAGAGAGAGAGAGAGAGAGAGAGAGAGAGAGAGAGAGAGAGAGAGAGAGAGAGAAGAAAAAGAGAGAAAGAAAGAAGAGAAAAAGAAAGAAAGAAAGAAGAAAGAAAGAAGAAAGAAAGAAAGAAAGAAAGAAAGAAAGAAAGAAAGAAAGAAAGAAAGAAAGAAAGAAAGAAAGAAAGAAAGAAAGAAAGAAAGAAAGAAAGGCATTGTTTGAAGTGGTATCATTAGGAAATTGTAAATGGTGCAAAATAGCATCGTCAAATTGAATCGGAGCAAAACTACATTGTGTCCTCCGGTTACTCACTTTCAGACTAAGCAAAAGTTTCAACTATTTCTGGTAAAATAATTACAGAGAAACAGTATATTAGCTCCAGCATTTACTAACTTTACGATTCTTGCCAAATCACTCATAACTACATGCTTCCATAACCCATGAGGGAGGGGTGATCACTCCTATGTAAGTGTGGTCCAGAGTGTGATAGAGTGAGGGACACACTGAGCCTCAAAAAACAGGGGCTGTCATATTAATGATGATGTTTATATTCTAGAGATACTTTGCTATCTTTGCTGAAACGTCCTCACGGGGAAAATGCTATTTGATATTGAAAATTTGGGGTCCTTTGCCCAGATGGTAAGCTATCAGAAAACCCCCACATCTTCCACCTCTCATTCTTCCAACTTGCTAATGCCTGAAATTCCATGTTTGATGCTTTTCTTTCGCAAAAATGCCTTGGTTTCTGTAAAACTCAAATAATACCATTGGGGTAGCATGGTTATCAGGAGAAAATTAAAAAGTGGAAATAGCTGTTGAACCAAGATGCAGGAAATCTGTGAGTTTAATGCATGGGAGAAGAGGATTGCAAGAAGTGAAAGGAAGCCAACCTGTTCCATTCTGATTTACCCACCCAGATATTCTTAATCGATGTTCTGACAGGTGCATCTTGGTGAAATATGACAGGTGTCTTCTCTGGCACTTGAATCTTGACCACACTCTGAATGCTCTGGTATCCTCAGAATTGTTTCAAGAATTAGAAGACACAAACACTGAGATATGAGTTTTCAAGTTGGAGGAGTTTACTTCCCGGAGGCTCTGTGCTTCTGGCCATGGATCCTACAAGCCATCTCTGCGAAGGAGGTGCTTCCAATGAAAGATTCTCTTAAATGTCTCCTTTGGGTGCAGTGTGGAGAGAGAAGGCGCAATTAACAGAAACATGGTGTTTTCAGTTAATTATTCTCTAGAGTGCAGGACAGAGAAAACAAATGGAGAAATACTCCCTCCCTGCTGGTTCCATCTCCCCACACTCCTCATGACCTATTGCAAAAATCCTGACAAAATTTTAGCAAATAAAATCCATCAAAACACACACAGAGAGAGAGAGAGAGAGAGAGAGAGAGAGAGAGAGAGAGAGAGAGAGAGAGCGAGCAATAAGCAAAATAGACAATATTACCTGGGGACAGTCTTCCTAGAGCAAGACTAATTGAATCAAGTTCCTAATTGAATCAAATTCCAATTTTCCTTTCCAAACTTTTACAATCATGAGATCTGGGAGAAACTCTCCAGGCAGGGCCATCAGATAATTTATTACCCAGGCTGATCTGCTTTGATCATGGAAGGGGAGTTAGCAATAATCCTGTGAGAAGCACAAACATAAAGCAGGACTAACCCTGGCAAACTGATGTCAAGTCCCAGGAATTTGAAACCCTTCTCAGAACAGCCACCCCTGTGGTTGTGGTGATGATGTTCTCAGGCTGGGGAGGCCTCGCTGTCTCTTTCTATTTTCTATCCCTCCCAGCTCTCCAAAATGTATTTTGACCTTTGAAACATCTCATAGTCTGGTTTTGCAATTGACTCTTCATAATACAGTTAATATGCTTTTCTGTCTTCTGTATTTTGTATGAATTTGTAGTTGGATATAGAGGTTTCATATGATTCTATTTTGATAGCTTTAGCAAGTCTGTCCCATAGGTGATACCACGTATTGTGCATATTGATGTGTGCGTGTGTATTGATAGATTTTATTTGCTCAAATTTTGTCAGGATTTTTTTGTGTCTCTATGGGTAAGGAGTGTCGATCTGTAGTTTTTTAAATTTTTATGAAAGTAATGTTTATAACATTTGTAAGTTTCAGGTGTACTTCATAAATCAACATTTGAAATCTTATCAGCACTGCCACTCCTTGTGGTTGGACAGCCAAATGGGTGGTTGTAAACACTAACAATTAGGAGGATGTCCTTTTGCCTCTGTCCTTGAGGGTCACTTTGTTAGATAGTGACAAACTGCTGTTCAAAGTAGACACACCCAATGGTGCTCACTGCAGCGGGGGACAAAGATTCTGAGACTGCACACTCTGGTCATGCTGGTAGTGCCCTACTTCTTAGTTTTTGCCTAAATAGTGAATGCAAAACTACTTTTCTCTATTATTAGTGAGGTTTTATATCATTTGAGATGTTTTAAAATCATCACAGTTTCTCATGAAATTTCTACTGGTGTATATACCCCAACTTATCTCAGACATTTGCCTTTTTATTCATACAAGTCCATTACATATTCTGGAGACTGACTTTTTGTCAGTCATATTTATATTAATATCTTCTTCAATTGAAACTGGATGGCTCTTTTTAACTTGAAAGCCTGTTCACTAAGGGTAAGTTATCTGATTTATACAGACCCAATATTTAATGTTGGAACATGGATAAGATAATAGCAATAAACATTACTCTTTAATGAAAATAAAATGAAAATGAAAATGGTCTACAGAAACCCCAAAATCCTGCTAGGCAGGAAGAAATACGCATTGTTCCATGATTAGGAACTGGTCCCCACTCCCTCATTCCTTACTTTGCCATTAACTCTCCTTGGTCATATTTGAAAAGGAACATTTGAAAAGGACATTTTATATTTGAAAAGAACATTTCTTTCTTGAGGGTCAGATCAACTGCCTCTGTCTGCTTCCTGCCTATTAAAGATTGATGGCCCAAAGATTCTTTATAGGTTCAAACAGTTAAATTTCTCTTAGTCCAGATAAATAGTTTTAACAGTTTCACTTCTTATCTACTTATTCAAGTCAGGCCTACACATCAATAACCACATTCACAAGTCCTCTCTCTCTCTCCCCTGCCTGCCCTCTGTGAGAGTCATAGGGTTTCAATTTCTTTTGTGTGAGTCATTTGGCCAAATTAAAAAGATTTTCTGAGCATAATCTTTAGTCATTTAGAGTTTACAACTATAGGGTGTGATGATCACATCCTTCATTTTGCCCTTTATGTAAAATTCAGTATCCTTCTAATTTTTATTTTTATAGATTAGAGATGAAAACCAACTTTTTTTCCTAACTCTGTAAGTCCCCAAATTTCTGGACCCTTTCTATATCTTTCTTTCTTGCATTCAAACTGGCCATTGTGATGTGAACTTGTTTCTTTTTGCAAAACTTTGTCAAATGCATCTAATAGCAACAAGTCCATGTTACAGGGGCGCTATTTCCATATAACCTCCCTTCCAAGTTATCATGGGTGACAGCTGTGCCAATGTTTCATGCCATCACGTATGAATTGCTATTATTCTAATTGGCCATAACATAATTTTGACACCTGCTGACTGAATTTAAAGATACTTCCAAATGTTAACACTTTGATTTTTGTAAGAGCACACACATATACCTGTAAAAAAAATTCTATAGCAATTATGATAGAGTGAGATGGCTATAATAGCAAATAGTCCAAAACAGATTTGCTTTTTACTAACACTCTAAGTTCATTTGGGGTCTGCTGGGAGAGGTGTCTTGTCGTGCACCATCACGTTATTCTTTATGATTCAGCCACTAATAGGAGCTTTTCCTGGAAAGGATATACTTTCTTCTTGATCACATTTCATTTGCCAGAACTAGTTATAAGGTAAAGTCTAACTTCAGAGGAAAGGAGGGCTATAATCTTCAAAGAATAAAGGAGAAGATATTTATGAAAAGCCACATGATATATTGCAAGATTTGTAAGTGTTATCATTTCCACTTTCAAACACTTTCTGTAAGTTTTATTTGGGCCCTAACATAAACCACGAAATCAGTCGTTCCAGGAGAATATTCTCTTTTTCCATCTGGCTAGGGCATCTTTGATTTCCTTGTTCCTCAGGCTGTAGATCAGTGGATTTAACATGGGGATCACCACTGTGTACACAACAGAGGCCAGCTTGTTTTGGTTCCGAGAATCATTAGAACTAGAGCACAAATAGACAAAGGTGCCTGAGCCAAAGAAGAGGGTCACTGCTGTCAGATGAGAAGCACAGGTGTTGAAGGCTTTGGACCTACCTTCTGCTGAAGTGATCTTCAGAATGGTACCAATGATATAACCGTAAGATATCATGATAACCAGGACAGACAGGAGTCCAAAGATCACTGTGAGCACAGAGGTTATAACTTGTAAGAAGAAGGTGTCAGTGCAGGATAGTATCATCAGTTGTGGCAGGTCACAGAAGAAATGGTTGATGACATTGGGGCCACAGAAATGGAGCTGAAGTAAGCTGCATAGTTGGATAAATGAGCCAAAGAATCCAGTTATGCAAGATCCTACCACCATCTGCACACAGAGGGTGGGAGACATGACCACAGTGTAGAGCAGAGGATTGCAAATGGCAACATAGCGGTCATAAGCCATGACCGCCAGGAGACAGCACTCAATCAGAGCCAGGCTGGAGAAGAAGAAGTATTGCATGATGCACCCCATAAGAGAGATAAATTTCTGCTTCTTGAAGAAGTCTGAGAGCATCTTGGGAGCTGTGGAGGAAACATAGCAAAAATCTAAGAAGGCAAGTTTACTGATGAAGAAGTACATTGGTGTGTGCAGGAAAGCATCCGTCTTGATCAGGGTAAAGAGGCCCAAATTCCCAGACACTGTAATGAGATAAATGCCTAGGAATATTGAAAAGAGGATGGCTGTAAGCCTTGGAAATTCAAAGAATCCTAAGAGGATAAACCTGGTAACTGTAGTGTTGTTTATTCCTTCAGCCATTGCCATAGTGTTTCTGATATCTGAAGGGGGAAAAAAAGAAATCTCTATTATTCTAGTATCCATAGGTTATTAACATACAATGGACAGTGTTACCCTGATATTCGGCCTCTACCTTAAATTACTGTCCAGTTGCATAAGGTTAAAAAAAAAGAAACTGCCAATCTACATCTGTATTTTTTAGAAATATTTTTATTGAAATATAAATTACTAACAGCAACAGATGAATGGATAAAGAAATTGTGGAATATATACTCAATAGGATACAACACAGCTGTTACAAAAAGATGAAATCGCATCTTCTGGGGCAAAATGGATGAGCTTCAAGGTGATTATACTAATTGAAATAAGTCAGAAAGTGAGAGATAGATATTGGATGGTATCACTCTTCCATGGAATGTAAATAACTAAAAATATACACAGGTAAAATACAATAGGAACAAATCTGCAACTTAGTAAAATAATTTACTGGTTAACAAAGGCAACAGGGATATATAGGAAGAGATGGGGGGAGGAGATGGGGTATTGGCATGGGTGGTTTGGTGGAAGGTAACTGGAACAGGTGCACATATGGGGAAGCAAAACTGAAAACCCAAATTTAAAATAAATGACTACAAAAAGATGTACTATAGTTTTGTCATTGAAATTGTTTGGTTTCATGTCTTTCCATCTTCCACCACAAAGGCAGCTACAAACCATCACATTAGCCAAAAGAACCCACCTAATAGCAGAGGAAATGCCGCAGTGAGTGCATGTACATGGACTTCACTGATGCCCTCCATATCATATCATCCCAAAGCAGTTTGACTTACAGAGTGATGGAATAAACTATTGAAGAGATAACAAAAATGCCTAGCCTAAGATGACATGATGCGTGGAAGGATGTCCTCCAGACGCCATCATGTAGTCATTAAATCAACAACCGTTCTATGGTGCCTGATCCTATCTAGGTAGATGACACGGAACTGTGGTTCAAGAGATGGAAGTGGAAGTAGGCTTCCTTACAACCACATCCTCTTGGGTGAGCCATTTCGAGATTTTGTTTTTCCAATTCCCATGTTTCTAGCCTCTGTGGGTTTAGAGGGCCAGATTCCTTGTAGAATGATTCCACCCAGAACAGAGTGAGAACCCCAGTAAAGCTGACACAACATCAGCTGCTTTGGTGACCAACTCCTTTACCTAGTTCTTCCCTCATTCCCTCTGAAGTGTTGATAAAATCAAGAAAGAACAAGTTTTGTACCACTGGGGAATCTCGAGATACTCCCGTGTCCTCTTTTCACTATCAATGGGCAAGCACAATGCCATCGAGGTAGGACAATTTGGAGCTCTAAATCTCCAGTGTTCCCGTAGGATCTGCGAAGGTCTTTGTCTCACACGTGAACTCCTCCCTTGGCCTCTTTGGGCTTGCCTCTCCTTTTGAGTGTTGATCATGTAGACATTCCCCAATAAACTTCCTGCAGGAAAATCTTAAGCTCGCAGCTTGTTTGCTTCCCAGGGATCTCAACCTAAGACATCACTTAAAAACAAGAAAATGGAGGGAGTAGGTGCAATTGTATGGGGAATATAACCAAAACAAAAATGCATACATTGTGCAAAGATGAAAAAAAGATGTTAAGAATTATATAAAATAAAATATTTAAAATAATAAATAAATAAATAAATCTTAAAAAAAAAAAACAAGAAAATAGTATCTACTTGACAACACAGTAATTCCCCATGTCACCGGTATCCCACTTCTGAATCTCCATTCTTAAAGAAATGATAGATATGATAAATATAAAATAGACATATAATGGAATATAAATAACCAAAAATATACACAGGTAAAATACAATAGGAACAAATCTGCAACTTAGTAAAATAATTTACTGGTTAACAAAGGGAACAGGGATATATAGGAAGGGATGGGGGTGAGGAGGTGGGGTATTGGCATGGGTGGTTTGGTGGAAGGTGACTGGAACAGGTGCACATATGCAGAAGCAAAACTGAAAACTGTATATATAGTGTAATATACACTGTAAACATTTATGAACTTTCCCATAACAATATTATATTAGCCTCAAATTTGAAACAACTTGAGTACACTTGAAGGTGGAATGGATAAGTAAATTGTGATCTGATCACACGCAAATCGTGGTTTATGTGACATCAAAATGAAAACAATCTACAGTTGCAAGATTAGGGCCTCCCTGGTGGTGCAGCAGTTGAGTGCTGGGTTGCGAAGCTGCCCGCAGCCTCTGAAGCCCCGGTTTGATCCCCGGCTGCTCCCCGGCCACCGGAGGAGGGTCCCACATGGCGTACAGACCTCCTTCTGCCTGCTCTGCTCCCTGCTCTGGCTCTGGTGAATTCTCTCACCCTCCCGCGCTTCTGACTTACCCAGTGCTTGTATAAATAAAATAAATCTTTAAAAAATAAATAAATAAATAAAGTTGCAAGATTACATGAACAAAATCTACAAATAGAATATTAACTAAAAGAGGCAAGTTACATAACAATACTTCATTATGACATCAAAAATAAAGACAAGAACCAGCAAAGCTAAACAACATTGTTCAGTGAAATATACATGAGCAGTAGAATTATGAAGTGAAAACAATGGAATTGTTATATCTGGTGGGAGGTCACAAGTTTTTTGTGATTCACAAAGATACTGATGGGGTGAGTGTAATGCCATATTTTTCCTGATGTCAGTTGTGGCTACATGAGAATTCTTAGAATAAAAAGGGAAAATTTTAAATAGCTTAAGTCATGTAACTTCCCCTTGTTTAAAAGTGTGTTTTGAAACCAAAACTCTCAACAGAATGGCAGCAAGTAGATAATTCATTCCAGAATGGACCCATCATCTCTCCTGATGCTATGAACACCTCCAACAGCACACGCCCTGGAGGACAGGACATTGATTTCCTGTGGGAACCAACATTCTCTGTCAGAGCCTAGGAAAAAGGAAACCCTCCAACCCTAAACTAATGGGACACTGTCGGGTTGTCTAATTGCTGGATAAATAATATCTCATTCCTGATCCCAAGTGGGAATTTTCAGATGTCACTTTGTCCATCTTCTTGTCTTTAAGTAGAATTAAATTAGCACTATCCAAGATTTGTCTGGAAAAATATATACATTAGTTCTGTCTAAGATCAAATATTACCTAAAATGTTGGTTTTTACTAATTATAGAAAATAGTGTAAGGGGTAAGATATAAGAAGGGCCAAATACCAGTTACTGGTAAGTTGCCTCCTACAGTGAGAATCATATTTATCAATTTCCAGTGGCCACAAAATGACAAGAGAAATCTACTACCAATATTTCAAAAGTTAGTGGAAACATGTACATTTTATTTTAAATTATACCACACCAGAGATTTTGAACCAACAAAGTCCTATGCTTTGAAGAAGAATGTAGCAATTTACTGTAGTTTCTCTGTTTCACACTAAGTGGATGTGTGAAAAAATGTGTATGATATGTGTATGATAAAAATGGAGAAATTCAGGATTAGGAGGGAGGTTAAATGCCAGCACTTGTCCATGGTATGACTTTTGGTTAAAGTCCTTTAAAATAAAAAAGCTTCATTTTCATCGTGTATAAACTGGTAATTACACGTTGGCTGTTGTGAGAGTTTAATTAAGCTATGGAACAGTTACTGCTTTCCCATAGCAGGCTCTGATAGCTGTTATTAGAATAAGTGTTTATTACTTTACTATTACTATTATTATTGCTACTACTTAAAGGCAGTTTTGTAGGTAAATCTCTCAAATCTGAGGTTAATAAAAACAAAAACAGGGGAGATCATTTGGTAATGTGGGATTAGGAATTGATGGCACAGCATGGCTTCTGGAAAGACACCTTTCATCCCCACATCACAACTAGCTAATATTTAACATTCTATACATGCCATTGACTTTTGGCTGAAGGATCCTGGTTATGTTAAAATACAGCTAAGCTTGTATTGGAGAAATGAAGGTACTATGAGGAAACCAAGAATAACAGGTATTTGAGAAGGGAAGGTGATTAGATGAGGATGGAAAGGGGGAACAAAACATTATTACTTGGAGCCCACTGTTAAGATAGGAAGGAAGTGTAGTGAGAAGAAGAGAGAAAACTGCAGAACAGAGTAAGGCAAGTTGTGATGGTAAATTCTGAAGGCACTGAAGACAACTTTTTCTAGGATATTGCTTACCCAGAAATTCATCACAAATCTGGGTAAAATCTGGGGTGCTCCCTATGTTTATAGCAGCTCTATTTACAATAGCTAAGCTATGGAAGCAACCCAAATGCCCAAAAATAGATGACAAGATCAAGAAGATGTGGTACAGGTACACCATGGAATATTACTCAGCAATCAAAAAAGATAAACACATGCAGTTTCCAGCAACATGGATGGAGCTAGAAGGGATCATGCTCAGTGAAATAAGTCAGAAAGAAAAAGAAAAATACTGGATGATCTCACTCATAGCAGGAATTTAGAAAACCTAAATAAGGGACCAGGAAAAAGAATAATCAATACAAAGTAAAAATCAAAATCAACAAGCAACTATAAACCAGAGACACACTACGGGGTGGGGGTTGGGGTGGGAGGAGGGAGGGGTGGAGAAAGGAAGGACTAGAGTCAAAATAAGCGGGGGTGCAATTGTATGGGGAATATAATCAAAATGAAAATGCATACATTGTGCAAAGATGAAAAAAGATGTAAGAATTATATAAAATAAAATATTTAAATAAAAAATAAATTAAAAATTAAAAATAAATATAATAATCATAAGATGGACCAAAATAGTGATAAAGTATTGTATGAGTTATTTTATAAAATGCATTTAGAATAGTTACCTCATCAATAACTATGGTAATTTATTGAATCTCTACTGGGAACTGAGTACTGAATATGAAAATCTAACAATTGCTGCTTTCAAAATTGCAGACAAACTCCCAGTGGCACTTAAAGTATTTTAATCTAAAATGACATATACATGTGCTGTCTCATAAGCTAACGATTTTAAAACAACAATTATTTCAAA